GGATCTTTTTTTCGTTTATATATGCACATATCTAAGAACACATGGATTTCTGGTTAGAAAAATGTATCTTTCTGCAATAAAAAATGTTTGAACTTCCATACTCTTTTTCTGTCATTCATGAAGGCTGTTCAAGTCCTCTTGGCTTCTCGTGCAAAGCTAAATTCTGGAAAATCAAGCAGTGTTGATATTAAGGTTGACGGGAATGGTATGGAAATTGAATCACAGGAGGTGGACCCTATTCAAGTAAGTTTTTTCACAGTAGCAGGTCCAAGATCCTATTGAGGATGGTTATCCTTGTAGATTGAGTAGCATCTATACAGGCCTCTTCTTCTTGTATTGACCATGTTCATGCATAAATGATGAACTCCCCTACTACAGTTACAAATTCAAAATCTCAGAAACTGAGTTGTGATTTTTGAGATGGTCTTTATCCTTCAAGCTTATGTTAGGAGCTGTATGATTGCACTTTGTAAAATTATCTGTGTGTTTGTGTTTGTGTTTGTGTTTGTGTATGTGTGCTTTTGGGCTGTTCATCTCATGGGTAGCTGAAATAAAATAAAAATAAATGCATCTGGTACAGAGTGAGCTTATGAAAAGGGAAGTGAAAGCGATGTCCAAAATTATAAGTCAAAGGAAAACAAACAAAATGAAAATTTGAGGTAATATAAAGAACTCTGGAAAACATTTTAACATGTGGAGCTGGAAATGTTAGGCAATGACTGAATTTACTGAATTCTGAAAAGACTTTCAAGTATGCTTACAGATGTGGTAAATTTGTTTCATGTTTTTCTCCTTTTCTTGAAATGAATTCTCATCGGTTCTCTGTACCCTCATCTGGGTATCATTTTTCTAATTGTTTCTTTGCTGTAGTTTTTCTTTGGTTTTTAATGGCATGCACTTTCAGGTTGACTTGCTTCTTGGGAAGGCTTATTCAGATTGGGGACATGTAAGTGATGCCGTGTCAGTTTATGATCAGCTTATTTCTAGTCACCCTGATGACTTCCGTGGTTACCTGGCAAAGGTTAGATTCCCTTCTTATCCCTAAAATTGGTTGTTAAGCACTTGAGGGTTTTTTTGGCTGTTTATAACTGATGATCATGATTATGTATTACCAGCAAACACTGGAAAATGTCCCAGAGAAAAAAGCTGCAGATTCTCTTGGTGTCTTCATCTTCTTATGAGTGACTGACCTATCATTGCATATAAATTTTGTTTTTCTGATCTATCTGCAGGGAATTATATTAAAAGAAAACGGAAATGTTGGAGATGCAGAGAGGATGTTTATCCAGGTGAGTATATGAGCATATGACCATCTAATTGCATGGCTTCAGAATTCAGATGAACATATTTAAATGCATATCGGCTCAATTTCTTCCACACACTGTTCATGCGGCATATGCATTGAATAGTGCACATGGGTGCAGAGAGCCTCATGAGACATGTACAGCTGCTCTTGAGCCGAGGTGGCATGCTTCATGCCACCGATGGAAAAATGTATATAGGTTCCAAAACATGTACAGGTGATTCACTGGCTTGGGGTAAACATAACAGAAACAAAAAACGAGTTGGTTTAGAGGCATGGATTGGTTTTGTATATATTAAGTTTGGAGTGCCATCTTTATATCCATACAATCCTGCATTAGAAAGCCCATTAGAAGAGTCCATTCACCATAGCTTTAACTTAATTTACTACACAATAGAAAACAACATTTGTAATCTCTCAGGATGGAGTTTTTCTTTTCAATATGAGATAGAGATCTTTATTCATCTACAAACCACTACAGCACTCTATACTTCTTACAAAGATAATATGCCAGTCTGTCTGAACCAGCACCGATCTTCTGTGAATGAAACAGCGTAACATCTGTCTATGGTTTGAGGTTGTTCAACAGCTACCTCTAAGTTAATAGAATTTTCATGTAATGTTGTAATCAGGGTTGTTAATAGAATATTCATGTAACGTTGTAATCAGGGTTTCTTAAGTTCCATCTTTCTATTGCTTATTTCCAAAGGTTATGTACAGGCACGATTTTTTGCACCGGAGAAGGCCAAGGCGCTCGTAGATCGTTATGCAAGAAAATGAACAGTTAATTGTATATTTGCATGTTCCAAGCCTGAGCATTCTCAACGGGGCCAGACGCATCTGGTGTATACAGCATGATAATCAAGACTCCAGTTTTTCGAAGGATACACACAGCATGACAAGTCGAACTCGACTGGCCTCCATTTAACTCCGCTGTTGCCTGTTTGGACTGTATATAGTAGTCAAGGGTGTTCTGAAACCTGAAGGAGAGAGGGGGAGTGCACGTGCGCCCTTTATGCTCATTATTATTTAAAGAAGGTCTAAATCTCGGACAATGTGCCTTTATGCTGAAGCCTAAAGCATATGAGAGGAACTTCCTAAGCTGATAATTAATGCTCAGAAACCAACAAGGAGAAGGATACAATTTGAGCAGTCGTTGGTATAATTAGAACAATAAAAAATGGACCGCATTCTGTAGTAATTACTTATGTATGATCCATAGTATAAAATATCCTTGATGACTTTATATTATTGAATGATAAATAATATCCCATTAATTAAATCAAACCTACCTTAGTAATTCCGAAACAAAATCCAATCGCTAGCTCTTAAGACACTTGATGACAAGAGAATTATCTATTTTCTTGTAAATCTCACTGACTAATTAACACAAGAAATAATAAAAGTAACCAATGCCTTAATGCTTCTTAATCTGTACTATACATGTGGTATTATAGTTGAAAAACATTTATGGTGCTATGATGTTAGTGAGAATATTAGCCAGTTTCTGGTAGTTACATAATTAATTAAATATTTCCCAACGAGTCATTAGAAATTATGAGTCAATTAATTCTCAGCCAAGATGGATCGTGCTTAATTAATTTGGAGAGGAGAGGTCAAATCCAGCCGGTTAATTTGTCTCCGTTCATTGTCTCCTACGATCGAACATTTCTTGTTAATTTTCAATAAAATTAATTAAACAAAAACAATGGGATTCAAAAGAGCAGAAGAGAGAGTAACTGAGTTGCTTATGATGTAAGGCAGAAACCCTTATCAGTTAAATAATCCTAATCTCTCTTTATCAAGATGGATCGATTTTTTGTTTGGGGGGGGGTGGTACTAGAAGAAAAGCGAGTTAAGAGAAAGGAGAGAATTTAATTACTTAATTACAGTTTAAGCATTATCAATTACATAACAAAAGAAACGGAAAAGACGCTACGTAAATGTGTATATATTACAAAGACTCTAAATGTTGTGGTATCTATTATATATACAATGTTCATCTTTTCATATTTTATCGTTAAAATTTTTGTTTTTTATTTTGATTCTTGAAATTTTATTTGTCACGATTACATCCTTCTTGAATACAATTAAAGAACACTAGAATCAAATTTATTGATCAAGAATAAAATTAAAAGATAAAGGACTAAAGTGAGAAAAAAAGCTACAAATGGGTGATGCTTTCAAAGTTGTCCCAAAAAATTTATAAATGATACTTCTTCAATCCCTCAATAGTTTCCCAATTCATTTTTTATACAATTTTCTTTTTTAGTTTTTAATTTAAAAAATGAGAGAAAAGGGTTGCTAGATTCTAGCATTAACATTGATTTTAGCCACTAAAAAAATTAGTCATGGTGTTAAAATATTTTATTAATAAAGTTCAATTTAGATGTTTTTTCACCTTAAAACATATGAGATCAAAAATAGTTTTTTGTTTTTTAATTAATTTTGAGTTTTGTGTAGTTTTTTTAGCCATTTATAGGATTATTAAGGTGTTTAAGTTTTTGGTTTTTGTAGGTGTTTTGGGTTAAAATTAAATTGAAAATGAGTTTTTAAGTTAAAAAATCATAGGCCATGTTTTTTAACTACCTTAACAGCCAAAAATCTGAGAATACCACGATGTGTCATCTAGAATTTTATTAAAAAAAATTAGGGTAGGTGAAAATTGAATTTGTTTTTTTTAAAAAATAAAACTCTCGTGCAAGCTCTTTTTAAATGGACCAAGTGTTGATGTGACCTCTTTATTTTTTTAATATTTTTAATTTATATTGAAATTAATGCCCCTTCTCTTTTATTTTTTTATTTAGATTTTTTAAAATAATGGTTTTTTATTCATTATTTTTATATGTATTTAAATTTTTGAAGAGATTATTCCAATTTATCTATAATTTTCTTCATGTTTTATATAATTGAAATTTAGTTTTAAAAATGAGAACTATTTAATTTTAGATAGTATTTCTAAAAATGCAACCTTGTAAGATATATATTTTTTTTATCCAATTAATATTATATGTATATCTATTTTTATTATTATTTAATTAAATAAAATAATAATAAATAAAGTTATTGAATTCAATTGGTGAATATATTGTATTGCAAGATCAAATATATTAATTTATATTTGTCTTTTGAATTTTTTTAGATATGTATTTAATTATTATTATTATTATTAAATATTTTTTTATTTATTAATATTAATAATTTTGTGATTTATTTAGTGAGATGTGTGAATAATATTTTTAATTTAACTTATATTATTTATAGAAAAAAAAAACATATTACAAATACCTGTGTGATTATTTAAAAAATAATAATCTGAGCGGGTGAAGTAGCTTGTGAAACAGGAACGGGGCAGTTAAAAGCACAGGAAACACAGTGATGATCAATCAAGCCCTAGCTAGCTAGCTAGCTTTCAAAAAGAGGTGCAGCCAAGCCCTAGCTAGTTCTTAGATGAACTTTCCTTTTCTTTTCCTGTTTGTTCCCTTTGATTTGTACCAAGAAAAACAATTTACAATTTATCAAAGTCAACCTCATCCTTTTTCTTAAAAATTAAAAACGAAAAACTTAGATAGTTATATTTGATCCTCTCTAATTAATCAAGCGATTTTTCGCTATATTCAGTACTGAACTCTCTCAAAAACAAAGCGTAGATGTTAATATTGATCATGTACACATATGATGAGGATGGTGAGAAGGTGTGTTAGCTCACGATCTGGTGAGTAACAACCAATCATCTCCTTGGTCGTCGACTCTGCCTTAGCAAACCCTAACTCATGCAAAATTAATTAAGGTAAACATCTTTCTTCTCTTAAACCACCTTTAAGATCTTCTCAAAGACAGGAACTTCACGTGGTATCTTCAAGACTCCCTCTTGTTGAAACCCAAACTCCTCTTCGGCCTCTCGCAACAGTATTCCAAAAGCTTGGTGACCCAAGTACTCCGTGGGGATGATATACCTCTTCATCTCCTTGCCAACGCAAATAGCAAGGTACCCTTTGGGGACAACATCGTTTGATGCAGCAGCTGCTGCTGATGATGAAGAATCTGTGAAGGAGAGTGTTCTCTTTATGAACTTGATGCTCTTGCTGGCATTGCTGCTGATGCTAGTGTCGTGGTTGTGGTTGTTCTTTGGTGCATTTGCTGCCCTTTTCCATTTCGTGAGGATTTGCTGAAGCCGAACAATGTCGCTGATCTTGCTACGCTTTTTTGAATGATCCATGACAAAATAACTTTATTTGCCTCTGTTTGCTTGAGAGGGAATATTTGCTCACAGCTGTGGTGGGATTTAAAGAAGTCATAGATGCATGCTTGGTGTAATGATTTTGCACAATATTTAATTAAATATATACATAACGACTATATAATATATGATAGATTAATCATTGGAGTCAGAGAGGTCGCTTAGGCAGTGCAACTGTCTCAAGAATCAACCAAAACCACGAACCCATCTAGCAGCTTGACTTTTCGTTAATTTGTTTATTCCCCCAAGACACACAGCAAGGATATGATTAGTGAATTAATTCATGATTCTAACCAATTATTCAATTTAATTATAACTAATTAATCAGCTCTACAATGGCATGGTAATGCTATCAATTGACTCATGATCTCTGATCTGCTGTACATGCATGCGCAAACATGCTAAAAACTTGGTTAACTTCCTCTCGGTATATATTATATATGTTGATGCATTAATTAAATGTTATCTCAACACGTACAGTATGTTTTCTAGTGGTTTCAATCTGTTACTTTATTGGATTTGAGGCTGCCTTGAAGACCGTACGTGGATGCTGACACTCGATCAGTCGAGAAACTCCATGTGAGATGCTTATTATTTTATCTTATGGTACTGAGGATACAATAATTAATATATATATATATATTAGCATACTCACAATTACTTGGCATATATTTTCTTCAATCGCTAATTAAAGAACATGAAACACCTTTTGTGGGTGTCAATTAAACAATTGCTTATGATCGATTAACTTGATATATAGCTAGCACGAGCATGATACATTAATAATCATGAAGGATAATTAGATATTTGGTCAATGGTCAAAGAACTGCATATGCATATGTAAACCATGCGCTCTAATTGTAGTTGGGTACGGTTTATTGTATACTAATTAACCATTCTTGTTTATTGATAATCATCAACAAAACCTAGGGAAAAGCTTCGTTTATAAATTAATCAGCAACCAGGATCGATCATCATGCACGCACGTCAAACATATACAAGTTCCATTCAATAGATACACAATTAAGCACAGGATTAATCACTTGTGAGCAGGGGGGGTCTGTGTGTAAGCACGAAGGAAAGCGTGCAGGCGCATGGGATGACGCATGAAAGAAGAGCACAAGATATAACTAAGAAGGGGCTGCAGGGGGGATCGAGGGTGTCAGGCTCCTCGATACTTGGTCCTCCCAGTATAATGATCAGGCAGCAGCTAGAAAGCAGAATATATATAGAGAGCAAGCGACGGTAATTGCATGCAGGAGGCAAGTGAAGTGAATGGGGTCGATGCTATACGTACAGCAAATCATGCAAGTTAAGGGCGGTTTCTGCTCAGAACTGCTGCAAGCAAGCCATAGACCAACAAATAACTCCTTTTCGACCTTGTAATTGTAGCTCAAAGTAGGTAGGTAGTCCCCACGCATGCATGCAGCCCAGAAGATCTCCAGGGGCCATTCCCAATCATGCATTGCATTGCGTCTTGTTGCCCACCAAATTAATGCAAATTATATAATAATTATTGCCTCGTACGTATATAATATACATAAATCCATGCGTGAATGATTGCATTTGATCCTACCATTTTCTGCACGGATCAGGTGAGGCTTTTTACCCCAAGCTAAAGAGGATAAAATATTACTAGCAGTAATTAAGAGCCGAGCCGGTAACATGTATATTTTATGGTTGGGAGAGGCCAATGGGCAGGGTTTCAAAGAGGAGGACCGCCGATATCGATTAGGGCTTGCATGAAACTAGCTACATCAGATGAGCGCGCGCGTGTATGTTATTCCATGATCCATAAGACAAGAGCAAGGGATCATATGCAAAATCATGGTCATTAATTAATTGTCATTATATATTCACATCATTAATAAATGTTAAAATCGAGAAAAAAACTACAGTTATTTTTATGGATTTTTTAATTAATTAACTTGTTCATAATTGCGAATAATTAAAAAAAAAGGGGGGGAAAGATTTAGATATGATTAGAGGAGGATGAGATCAGGAGAGGAGACAATATTTTAGGATTAATTTCTATAATAAGGTGCAGGGCTTCGCTCGTGATCGATGTAGCAAATCCTTCAATAAGATTATTCTCCTTTAATTTCCATCATCGATCTATTGCATATATATGCACGTGGTGTGTCTACATGGAGCAGCAGCAGCAGCAAGTTAAACTACTTGAATTATCATTATTAGATCTAAATCTACCAAAAAAAACAAAAGCAAATCCAATTATTTAGTATTTAACCGATCCCTTTTCACTGGAGGCGGCGGCTATGAAATTAAATTTACAGGTCTCGTTGAGACAACCGACCCTGATTTATTGGTTGGTGTGCATGGAAACATGAAGGGAAGGGTTAGAGTATGGAGCTTTAGGATCTTCCGCAACTTAAAAGTGAAATCCATGGTAACACATCTTATCTGACCCCAATCCATGCATGTTATTACTGTCTATAGCTGCATCAAAGCAACGAACAAAATCTAATATATATGAAAGGAGTTGCCATCATATTCAAATCCCATGTCTCGTATGAGACCCAGTGAGCGGCAGTGCCTTTAGAAAAGATCCAAGGTGCCCAAGAAAGCACAGTTGTTTAAATATGCCTCCCACACTACACTGAAACGTAGTCGGCTAACATTTAAGATCAAATCTGCAAGAGCATGCTGGTACATGGAAAAACAACAAACATGAACGAGAAGGAAAGACCAAAAATGTATGGAACTGGGGAACCAAGAGTTATGCTTGCGCATTTATCAAGGGCATTAGAAGCTGATACTGACCAAATCCCGCATTATCCTCCTGCTCTTCGAACTCTGAAGCTACACCCATACATATTGCAATTTTTGCATACATTTAGGGTAATTAGCATGGAAAAGGACAGAGAGCAAACTTATGAGAAAACTGAGGTATAACGTTAGGGATCACTGAAAATCCAAGTATTTACAAGAACCGATATGTGCAGGGTACAAGGTATCACCAGAGAGACATTATGATCTAGATTTCCTAGGCAAAAATCATTGGCAAAAATATAAACCTGCAGGGGTATGCACTCTGCAGTGTTGAACCAAAAATAAAACTTATCCGCCATGATATGTCATGCTGGTAGTATTACTATATTTTCCAGACTATTGCTGTATTGCCTCGAGGGTCTGCGACTATGAGCCACAGGATGTAAACCAAACTCATCCAATCCATGGTTTATCTCGGCATT